TAGTTGAGTAGTTGTATGGTTCCTGTGACCGGTTTTAGCATAACTTCTCTTCGCTGATTAAGCGGGGATAGGGTTAGGTCTCAAACGTATGAAGTCACAAGTAGGTAGAGGATGGAATATTTAATGAATCGCTCACATAAGTCCATACTGTTTTTTAGTACACCGACGGAACGTGCACATCTGGTTTCCAAGAATTCCCAGAACTGGCTGCTGGTAAACTTCGTCTGTTTAGTAGTGTTTTTGGTAGGACTGTACAACTCAATTCCAGAAAACTCATGGATCCTTGGTGATACCTTCATAGGCAGCTTCTACTCGATATTTGACCATGGTAACAGGCGTGTTGGATTTGCAGTATCGACCTAACTTATCTGCAAATGATAGACAAATCAATAAATTCTATAAAAAACATCTTTTTACTTCCATCACAATTCCAAAAATAGACAGCGCTATCTTGTTCAACCCGAACATGAAATAATCACACAGGCGGGACTTCCCGAATAGTAAAGGCCAAGGGATGAAGGGGATTCTCATGTCACTTTGATTGTTAGACCTCGACCGACGACTGCTTCTTGCCGTTAAGCCGTCGTCAATCCAATACCTGACCTTCTATAACTTTAACATCCCTGGTTTCCTAACCCCATTCATCTAAAAGAAATCATTTGAGGTTCAACCAAATCGTAACTTTCTATGACATGCAGTTTGTCGGCAATATACGCCATAAGTAAGCCCGACACTTCGACTGAATAGGGTTAGCGCTGATCGGCAAAAAGTTCTGCCATTAAACAAGACAGGCGCAGTTTCTCTGAAACTAGAACAAGCTGTGTCCTTCAACTGCTGATTTCTTGCAGTTAATATATCGGTCATTTCAGAATTCTTCAACTATTTAGCAAAAACCTGGTTTCCTAACCCCATTCATCTGGAAGGAATCATTCGAGGTTCTCGTTCTGTATGAGTTAACTTCTTTCTGGTTACAGCTTTTCAAGCTACGTCAAAAGCGATTTGTGCTCGAAATTTAACGACTGGAAGGCCTGACTATCGCATCGCGTACTGGGGCGATAAAATAGCAGTTAACAAAACATCAAGTTAAAGGAAGTATCAATAGCTAGTTCCAGTTGGAGGGAGAGGAAGGAAGAGGAGAGAAAAGGAGGGAGACAGAGAGGGAGAGGGAGAGAGAGAGAGGATGCGAGAAATAGATTGTTAGAGTCCGAGAGAGGTGCCCAAATTGGAGCACGGGGTTCCTGTTCAAAACGGAGGTGGATAGTTTGTGGGCATATCCACCATGAATGTAACATTTCCACACGAATATTATGCACGTTTATTGATCACCATGAAAACTGGCTGTAACAACACAAACACAAGTAAAAACATTCAATTCTAACAATACTAGCGACTACCAGTAAGAATGATTAGATAAGTGTAAATAGGACTCTACAGAGTAAAAATAGAAACAGTACTTTACACAGCAAATGGGAACTATAAATAGCTCTTCACAACAGCATTACTAACATTTGTACAACCACTGAGTTCAAGATTCATTCTTTTTAGGAGCGGCCATGATAGGAATCGTTCTCTTTCTCTCGTGGCCCTCGGTATTCTTTGGAGCCTCCACTGATAAATGCCCCTTGTCATCGAGCTGGGTACGAATAGCTTCCAGATCGACATTTTCGGGAAGCAGCCATTTGCGAGTGAACGATCTGTAATGTTTGAGGCAATCAATAGGTATCTAATGCACACTTTACCGTAAAGGCACTGGTAGTACCCACCTATAAATCGCACTGTTATCCGATTTGTGCTCCTGCTTGCCTTCGATAGTCAACTCGCGTCCTTCCACATTCACGTTCAGCTCCTCTGGGCGAAACTGGGACACATCCAACGAAACGGCAAATCTCTTGTCGTCGTCTACCATCTGAAGTCAAAATTAATCTTTTCATAGGGTTCACAGTCACTTATGGAATTTTAGAAGAGGAAAAGCCTTACCTGCTGAGTTTCGTTGGCCACATGAAGCACTGACTGGTCAGCCTCCGTCCAATATGGGAAGAGGCATCTTTGGAAACGATCGAGATCCCTCATTGTATCGTACAGCATATGGTCCGTTAGACGAGCAACTGGCCACAACACCATTATTGACTGTCAGGAATTTCCTGAAAAAAAGATGGTCATGATAGAGATTTTCTGTATGTATAGTCAAGAAGGGCCATAAAAGGAGCTGGAAAAGGACTCACTTTGATCAGGTAACTGCTTGAAGGAAGACTGAAGTAAAACGCTGCTGGGAGCTGCTTCAGATCTCCTTATATACTCGTTGAGATAGCCTTCGAGAACCATCTAGAACGTCGGTTGTTTGTTGTTTTGCCGGCGCCTCGCGCAGTCAGCCCCGCCCATCAGCTGACTCGCTGCAGATGCAAATGCAGCGTGGGAAAGGGGCGGGATGAGGGGGTTCCCGAAGTTTCCTGCGCGGTATATAAGCAATCCCCAGTTTGGGTAATCTAGCACATTGAGCATGTACTATTAAGTTTCAATGTCTCTCTGCATTCTTCCATCTACTACGGAGGAGGCGATCTTGCCTCGTCCGATAGATGATGTCTGCAGCGAACTTGACGATGCTTTCAATCGGTTCCACGAAATTGAAGACATCGTCTCCCCTCCCTTAAGAATAAGGGCTGAAGAAAGAGAAGCTACGGTCCAACTATGCACGGTAAGTGAGTGTTTAAGGAGTTTCTATTGCCTCAGTTATTTCTTCAACCCAATAAGTAGAACTCTTACAGGTTATCGATGACGATTCGAAGTTGGCAATCTCATTGGATGTCTCAAAATTCAAACCAGATGAGCTGAAAGTGAACATCAATGGGCGAACCCTGACTGTTGAAGGTATGCAGGAAGTAAAGGAAGGCTCGAGTTTTACTGCCAGGTAAGTATCATAGCCTCAAACATCTGAATAGGTCTCGATTTGCTTATGAACCCTGAATTTCCTTCTTTCAGGTCATTCTTCCGCCAATGTTCTGTTCCAGAAGATGTGGACGTCGGGCAGATTCGATCCACCCTTTCTAAGGATGGACATTTGACTATAGAGGCACCAAAGCTCAAACCAGCTATCAGCGATAGGAGCATTCCGATTGAGGAGCCCAATGATCAGTAGTGGATGGAAGCTAGAAGCTGGAAGCTAAGCTGTAGTATTTCTTTTTTGGTTATGAATGATAATTATCATTTATTTCTGTATACCCACAGAATACGATCTTCTGCAGTACTGTAATTGTATATATTCTTTGCTGTGTTTTTAATAGTGTCCAATAAAATTTTGAAAAAATTGCTTTTCTCACTGCACGGCACATCGTAGTAGATCATATATTCAATACGATCATAGCTTAGGTCCATTCTTCTTGAAAAGCCTCGCCCTCAAAATCTCCACTCCGTCCCGCAAACTTTTTGAATAGGATCAGTAGGGAATCCGCACCCATGCACTGTAAAGCAATCGTTAAAGAGCTGAAAACTGGGTGAGGTGACGGTCTCCAGATACCGTATTTGAATGCTGATCAGATCGTCTTGATTTATGGGGCCGATAGGCTGAACGAAATCGGAGCAGCAAAGATATCAGAGACAACGGGCAATGAAGAGAGCATTGACGGTGATCGGGTCAGGTCAACTGAGGGTCCGACCTTTCAGACGGTAGATCACGTCGGCAATCGATATACCGTCTAGATAGAAAAGTAAGAATCAGAACAATTTTCTCAAGATTTTCTATGCACATTGGCCATGTCTATCATATTGGCCTCATTAATAAATCGGTCTCCTAATCTACCTGTGAAACACACACCAAAGAGTAGCTACCAGAACATTCGCGCTCTACTGGCACCAATTGGGAGCAAACCCAAACTGCCGTCACTGTTTGGCTTTTCCAGACCCAGAACTCACTTCAGGACTGATCTAACTTTTACTAATTTCCCCACGTGAGTGTAAGTTTAATTTGTTTCGATTGTCAAGCAGATTACTGGGTATCAGACTTCCTCCATCATTTATTGGATCGAAAATGTAAAGTGAACCATCTTCACCACAATCCTTTCAACCTTATGTCCTGCCACCTTCACCGGATCCTCCCCCGCCTTCATAGTAGGAATAGAAAGGTGATAAGGACAGATGTCGACTTACAGGTAGCGACGCCAAGTTCAGTCGCTAAAGAAACAAAATGCACTGAGGACAAAAAGTGTCTCCGTGTCAGCGCTTTGGTGCAGAAAAACTTGGAGCAAGTGAGGACTTGGTATCGTAAACAATGGAATTGTTTTGGTCTCTATAGGCTTCTTTTTTCAAAGTGTTACGCTCCATATTGGGAACAGTAAGTAAAGAAGAAAGTCTTGGGGTGCTAATCAATCCCGTCAGGGGGATGTGATGTGATCAGTAGTGATAGGTAATGGCACTCACTACATAGGCTCCCATTTCCAATCTAGTCCAACTACTTTTAGTCCTCTGACTCTGCTTCACGAAAATCTTCTCTAGATCATAGAACGGCTCCCAGGTCTATCAGTCCCTCCCATCTTCAACTTCGTCATGGAACTTCCCTCTTCACAGTTCAATCCTGGCTTCCTGGGCCTCATTTTAGCAGGATTGGATCAGTCATGGACATTTATAATGATGTCCGGACGCCATAAAACAGGCCACTCACCACTTCATGTTGGTAATCCCAATTCACACTGGAAAGATATCTCGCCACAAGGGTTGAATGGTTGACCCATTCAACCCTTCCCATCCCCCTCCTCCAGTGCTCTGCACCTCTAATGACATGGAATATGAAAAGGGACAATAAGGAGTTTCAATTTACATCATTTTCGAGTCCGAATTTTGTTGAATGAGCTATACATCACGGAAAGTGAAGTGCTGGCGCAGAGTAATCACAATACTAGAGCCAAGGAGCTGGTTCGCGCTTTTTCGGATTTCTTTATTTTGGTTGAGACTGCTATCAGCAGATACTTTTAGAGAAAGGAAGTTCCTAGGGTAAACTAGGTATGAAGATTGCAAAAGTTCTGTTTTGCGTAGGCCATTTTTATAGCGCATGTTTTTATTTACGCGGTTCGACGACTTCGAGAAACTTCTGCAACCTCCCTTGTTTGTTGTTTTGTCGGCGCCTCGCGCTCTCTCTCACACATCGCCCCGCCCATCAGCTGACACGCTGCAGCTGCAGCGATGGAGAAGGGGTGGGGCGAGAAGTTCCCGAAGATTCTGATGGATCCCTCCGAATGGTATATAAGCGGCTCTCCGGATGGCAGTTTCAGCACATTGAGCCTACATTACTCAGTAATCGACAATGTCTATCTGCATTCTTCCATTTGCTTCGGAAAAGGCGATCCTGCCTCGTCTTTTCGATGACATCTTCAGCGAGCTCGACGACGTCTTCAATCAGTTCTACCAAATTGAACAAATCGCCTCTCCTCCTCCAAGGAGGGAGGGGAAGAAAAGCCCCATGGGTCAAGTATGTAAGGTACGTGGAAATTTCAAAGTTTTTCTTGGTTCACCATATTTTTCAACCTAATGAATAAAACTTTTATAGGTCAGCGATGACGGATCAAAGTTGGCGATCTCATTGGACGTGTCGAAATTCAAGCCAGATGAGTTGAAAGTGAATGTCGATGGCCGAACTCTGACTGTTGAAGGCAAACAAGAAGTGAAGGAAGGCTCGAGTTATACTTCAAGGTAAGTATCATAACTTCTAACATCTAGGTGGGCCTAGTTGTGCTGATGATTTCTGAGTTCCTCTTTTTATAGGTCATTCCTTCGCCAATGGACTGTTCCAGAAGGTGTCGACGTCGAGCAGATCCGATCCACTCTTACTGAAAATGGTCACTTGGCCATTGAAGTGCCGAAGCCCAAACCGGCCAACACCTCCAGGAGCATTCCGATCCAGAAAGCGAACGATCAATCAGCAGTGAAGAGCAGCTAACTAGTGTATTGCCCACCTAATTGTCATTAATGATTGTAACTTATTTCTGTACAGCCACGATAATACGATCTCTTGTAGTTCTGTAATTGTATATAGTATTCGTAGTTTTGTTAGTAGTGCTTAATAAAACTGTAACGAAAAGGATTTGTATTTTACATCCAATACCAGCCAAGCCTACTCCTCTTGGAGTAGACTCTTTAAAAATGACAGACGGCCAGACGAACTTCATAGCAGTATGCAGTAGCACAAGCACATCCCGTGCACTTGAAATGACTTCAAAAAAAAAAAAACGAAACAGCTCTCCTAAATCTCCAGTTCATCTATGTGAAAATGAAAATCAGATTACCCTGATTTCTGGATCGATGGACAAGACCCAAAGGATCGCCCTAAAGCATTATCTTTCTCTAAATATCCCGATTACCGCATTTTCTTCGCTGTTTTTGCACTACTCTGGACTTTCGCTTCCACGCCACCGCAAAATACCTTCAGCTGTGCTTCTTTACCTTCAGCTGTGCTTCTTAAGTACGTAGAAGGAGAAAAAGTCTCCAATCTTCGTTATGTCGGGGGGCGAACTTCCTTCTATGACCTGCATGTCATGAAAATTACGAACTACCACAGAGTATCACACATCTTCACGGCCCTTGGACCGTAAGAATGGAGATAGTCCTTGTTCACTTCGACGTCTATACAAATCCTGTACTTCACGGAAATTGTCAAAAGCTAATAAGTTCAGAGAGAAGATGCTCTAAAATTCAATCAGGTTAAAGGCACGATTCACGATAAAAATAGTTACTGAGTTCTTCCCTTAGGAATACTCAGTGGCACCCATGGGTGGTAGAAGGGTTCCCCTCGCTCCCAAAATTTCGACGGTCAGGGCATAGTGGAAGCCCCTGGTGCTGTCTTGAGTGTCTTCCCCTCCTCTCGATCCATGTCACGTCAAGCGAGTGTCGAGACAATACAGATTGCAAATATTCTTTTTGGGACTCACACACAATCAGCTGACCGCCGAGTAAAGAGGCGATGATTTCATCCCATTCTTTTGTTCTATGTTAGTCTTTTTGCTGTTGTGATCCCTAATTTAGTTTTCTACCCCAAGAGGCCGAAAAAGATGGGCTATTTTTGCTTTTACTAGGGGTTTTTTGTTAAGTTTGCTTATGAGTGAATGAATTTTTGCCTACCGTAGTCAGTTATTCGCACCAGGACCCACACGTACGTACTAACACAGATTGTAAAGCTCTTCCACTCTTCTTCATTCTTCTGGTCTCACTCTCGTTCAGCCCCCTTTTCAACGATTTTACGAAGTCTTTTTTTCATGTTAGAAACATCGATCCACGATTTCCACAGATTTTGGGAGCGATTCATTTTTTCGCCTTCATCGCACTATTTTCGATCTTGTCTTCCATTTTTCATCATAATCTGGATTACCCAAAATTATCGTGAACTGTGCCTTCAAGAGCTGGCCTAGACCAAACACATTCTTATGCCCAAGGAACTGACTCGTGCTTATACGGACACCCTTCATTTTGATCGAGATTGCTATCAGCAGATACTTCCATACCAGGACAGTACCGACATTGAATTAGGTAAGAAGATTGCAAAAATTCTGTTTCGCGTGGGCCGCTTTTATAGGGCATGTTTTTATTTACATGGTTCGA